CTCTCAAACACAAGCTTCCAAATAAATCTGTCTTGGATGGAACACTTCCCTCTTGCACATAAAGCAGGCAGCAATCAATCTGAAAGAAGAACGGAGGGAAAAATGGAAAGTTGGGGAAGCAAGAGATGGAGGCCACAAGGTTTCTGCTGAGAGGTGAAAGGAGAGACGTAGAGAATCACTCTTTAATAAACGTAGCAAATTCAAATCATTTTATTGCTTTGAAATATGTTTAAAATAGAAAAAAATGTTGCTTTACCTGAATACCTGCAAGATTTTGTTTGACGTTCTTCTAGAAAGGTTTTCTGTGAAGAAAGTGACAACAATTTTATTCACTTCTGATAATTTTTTTCTACTGTAAACAAACATTTTTTCTGACTGAAAAAATGTTTTCAGTACACTTTACTCTTGGGAAGCTGTTCCCTTAGGGACCATCTTTATTGCTCCTTTTTTTAAAGAATTTTTTTCATTCTGCTCATTTGTTTACAGAGTTGGAAAAACACTTTATTCATTAGCAACATACCCCAAGAGCCTCCAATTGAGTATTTTCCACGATATAAGACTCACCAATCTTGCCATGTATTTGATATTGCTTGTCCTATACAGTAAACCTTGAATGTGTACATGCCATTTTGCCTTTATCTGTTGCCCCTTGGTGACATTTTTCAAAAGGATAAGATTAATTTCCACCTATATGCTGATGATTGTCAAATTTACCTTCCCCTGAGAATGGGATCGGCAAGATCAGTTAAGCCCTTACTGGATTGTCTGGAGGAGGTCAGCGCATGGATGGCTTCTAGCTTCTTAAGTTTTGATGAGGGTAAAACTGAGGTAATTGTTTTTAGCCCCAGTATAAATATTGCCTCTGGTCTAGATGTTGACCTCTCTTTGTTGGCGCCTAAGAAAGAGCTACTTAGTAATCTTGGTGTGAAGTTGGACACATCACTAAAGTTGGATGCTCATATTAACAGTGTAGTTCGCCGCTGCTTTTTTCATCTCCACTGCATATCCAGGATTAAGCCGCTAGTCTCACGGGCTCACCTGGAGACAGTAGTCCATGCTTTTATCACCTCTTGATTAGATTACTGCAACTCCCTCTACTCTGGAGCAGTGTTAGGAAAGTTACTTTTAAAAAGTAATTAGTTATAGTTACTAATAACTTCGTCAAAAAAGTAACTCAGTTACTGAGTTACGAGATTATAAAAGTAACTAATTACCAAGAAAAATAACTACTTAGTTACTTTTTTCATTAAAGAATGCAAGAAAAATTGGTTAATTGAACTTAATCTACTATAAATTACTACAGTAGTGAAATATAAATGACTAATGACTGGAACATAATAACATGTATGTCCAAATGTTTTCTATAAACCTGAATAATTTAAACAAATACGCACTTAACAGGAGGAACTACTAATAGGAACATTACACTTATCTAGACTATTAAAAGGTCACTGTGTGATATTCAACAAGACCCCAATCAGCTAAAGTTTAAAATTGCAAATAGAAACACCTGTAAAGGTTCCTGAGCCTTTAAATGGTCTCGCAGTCTAGTTAAATTACAGAAATGAATGTAATTTTGCACAGCATTTTAATTTTTCCAGCTTCACATAATTGTGTGTTTTAGTAGCATTTCTGTTGCTGGTAATCTAGTAATGGTTAAATAAATAAATAAAATCCTTTAAAATGACACTAGAAGAGGCACAAGCCTGATGGAGGACTTACATTTACTAACTTGGGTCAGACCCAACCACAGAAGAGCTGAAGCTGGGTGGTAAACACACACAGGTAGTTCTGATAACACCTGAGCTCCATGACGTTTGAGACTGATGCATCAGTGTTACAGCGGGACTAAAGACATGATCAGAAACAGGTTACAGCTGGATGATCTAGGAAGGTAGAAGATCAGGACGTCTGAGCGGTGAACAGGTGAGCGGACCTTCGGGACGTCCCGCTGTCACTCTAAGAAGGGCACGGCTGCAGATCCACACCTGCAGCCGTAGATATTCATCACGTCTTCCTCGTTCTTCACAGCCGTGATGCACTTGGATGAAAACATCTGCCTCTTTAGCTCCTGATCAGCTGATGACAGCTTCAACACACCGTGCAGCTTAACGCACGCATTTCCTTATCAGTAACAGAAACCACGTTTTGATAAAAGAAGACGGTAATTAATTTGTTTGCTCGTTACTGAAAGAAATATTATTTTAGTAACGCGGTTATTTTAAACGGCGTTATTCCCATCACTGCTCTGTTGGGTCTACAGCAGGCAGAGACTGAGACAGTGAGAACACTGAGGGTCTCCGCCCACCCGGCCAATCATCATCGTGTTTGTAAGTGCGTTACCGACACCTCTCTCTCCCTGGCTACAGCTGAAGTGTGGCGGTCAGAAAGCTTCACACTGTTGCTCAACGTTCGACAAGCACATAGTAACGCACAACCTTCCATCCCCAGTAACGGTAACGGCGTTGCAACAGTGGGAAAAGTAATTAATTAAATTATTCCGTTACACAAAAAAAGAACACCGTTATTTTAAACGGCGTTATTCCCATCACTGCTCTGAAGTTAGCAAGGCTCCTCTAGCTCGGCTTCAAGCGATTCAGAATGCTGCAGCTAGATTCCTCACTGGCACCAGGAGGCATGAACACATCACGCCAATTTTGGATCATCTGCATTGGCTTCCGGGCTCTTTTAAGCCCTTTTTACAAAAAATGCCGTCAGTTTGCTGCAACGCCATGGCGGCATCAGGGACCCTTAGGTCGTTTTATAAGATCAGACCGTGGTGGTAATGTGGCGCAATCGTGGCAATTTTATAAAAGATTAGATGATGGCGCCATAAAGGACGTATGGGGCGGTCTCTGCGCTGCAGCAGACTTTCAGTTATCTTGGACATAACTTGCTTTTTATTGCGATTGAAGCCGTGATCGTTAAGTTTTTTTTAACGAGCAGCTCCTAAAGGCGTCTGTCCCCATCAGTTCCTGTGCAGTCTCTGGTGATCTGAGCTTCAGCTCTAACAGAGCGGCTCGTGAAGCGCTGCGGCGCTCCAGTTTGCCATCTCAGCTGATTTTGTTCAAAAAGCAAACCTTATTGCCCGTGTTTACTTTCATTTTCAATACATTTGCCAGCCGGAGCTCAGCAATAACTCCCCACGTCATCATGACATCTGCCTCTGTTGTGCCAGGGCGCATACGACAGACCATTACTGCAATACTACTACCAAGCGAGGCGGAACAAACGCTGCTAAATTCGTGCAACGCCATACCGGCATGGTGCGTTCATAGACATACCATTGCGGTAGTATTACGCCAATTTCCCGGCATGGTGTGACTTGTAAAAAGGGCTTTAGAGTGCAGTAGTCATTGCAGTTGTCAGGGGCTATTCGCAGATTGAACCAGGAGCTGGGTGGCCTGTTGGGTTTTGTATGGCCTGACCTTGTTTACATTTAACAATGCCAAGCAACACAATTTAACAAGAGATTGGAATTAAGTTTGGATGCAGATGTTGCACTGTATGCTTTAGTATGGCTGTGCAGGCAAGGAGTTCAGTTTTAGAGAGGTTTAGTCGGAGCTGGTGGGCTAACCACATCTTGAGGGCCAGCAGCTTGGTCATGTAGACAAGCTCTTTAGTCTCTATGCCTCTGTGAGGGCAGGCCAGCTCTGAACACCTGGGCCAGAAGTTAAAGACTTGATAGCATTGTGTAGACAGCAGCAGCTGAGCCATTTGCACATGTTCCTTGCAAGACCGGCCAAGTGATTTCAACGTGCTTATCAGAAGATTCAGCCCCTGTTCTCTAGGTGACTACAGTGCTTCATTGTGCAGGCTTGTTCTTGGATTTAGGCTGTTTTGCAAAAAATAAAAATAAAAACATGCAATATATACTGTTAGCAGCTGCATACATCCAGATAAAGTGTAAGAAAATATTATAGGGATGCATCATCAGGACCAGGTAATAGGCTGAAACAGACAGAACGTGACAAGCCTGAGTGAGCAACCTAATTAGCATATATGGTTAAACCCTGCATTGCTGTTAAAAATAAAAAGAAAAAATGTCTTTTTCAGAAATTTTTGTTTTAAAAAATGTGTTTTCTTTATATAGAAAAAGAAACAACAAAAATATTTGAAATGACTAATATATATATATATATATATATATATATATATATATATATATATATATATATATATATATATTATAAATAACAATTCTGTTTCAAATCCTATTTTTTCAGGCTGTCCTGCAAGGAGTTTTATATTTTCTTTGGAAGCTCTTCCTTCCTTCTTGAGTCCAGTAATGGCATCTTGATTTCAATTAGTGCTTTTTAAGTAAACTCTACATGTATATAGTTTTGCAACTCTGCCTTCTGCAGACTTCTTTTTGTGTTTTGAGAAGAAGTGTTTTGTCTGAATTTATTTTATATAAAGTAACTTAAATATCTTAGACTCAAAACATAGAAAACTTAAAACTTCACACGTGTCATGATTGGGATGTAAAATGTTGGGGGGAAAACAAGGAACTGTATAGACTTTGGCCTTTTCCTGCAGGAAGAGTAATGGCTGAAGGTTTTGACAAAATCATTTCCAGACAGTCTAACAAACAAGAGCAGGGCAGAGCAAGTTGCACATAAATACAGCCCAGGATGCAGATGAATCTTTTTATTTCTGCTTTGATGCCCGAAGTCATTGTGGAAGCCAGTAAATTAGTTTTCTTATCTGCTCTAGCATTAGCCAAATATCACCTGGAAATATTACAGAGTTTGCACAATCCAGGGGGATGACCCATCTGCAACAAATAAGAGTGAATCATAGTTATGTCTTGGTTTTCTTTCAATTTTTGTGTAAAGGTCAACATAGATGTATATATTTATTATTTTATGTGTTCTTTTGTTTATTTATTTTCTATATCTGTTGGATGAATGCAGTTTAAATTCGCTGAAGGACTAAATGAAGATCTCAATAACACAAGCAGCTCATCTTTTCCCCTCTTGTCTTTCTGTGTTCCTCAGAAGTGGCTCCCTACTTACAAGGAGGTGGGCGAGGGCAGCAGGTGGTGTTGGAGGGAAACAGACTGGTGCTGACCTGCCCAGCTGGAGGCAGCTGGCCTCTGCAGTACCGCTGGACCCTCAACAACAGTAACATCACTGACTGGACATCACAGTACAGGTCAGTTAGTACACACTGGCTGCTTATTATGTCACAGATCTCTGTGATCTTAAGACGAGTGTTTATTATTCATCCATAAACAGCTGCAGCAAATATCTCCTTATGCAAGTTAGCTGTGTGTTGTGAACTGGTCTGAGCTTTGAGATGACAGTGCCAAAGAGATTGATACAGTTGCATTAACACCCAAAATATAAATATGGTTTGGGAAAAGAGGAGCAGAACCAATCAATATATCTGAGCCTTTTCTTTGCTTTTCGCTCTGTACCTCACTTCCTTCTCTCTGAGTCCCCGTGCATGTTGGAGGTAAAAGAAAAGCGGTGCCTCTCGGCAAAACTGCTGCTGTGAAGCTAAATTGTTTTTCGCATCATTCAGAAACAGAGGGAATCTTGGGAGCGTGTACACACCGAGGGAGAAAGAGGTTGAGCCAGCATTTTGTAGGCTGACAATTGCACGAGGCAGGAGGCGTTGTTTAGCTCTGGACTGCTCTCAGTGTTCTGCCTGCTTCAGTTTGGTGAATCAGGCTCATGCTGAATTACAGAGGTGCTGTGAGTGTGTGAGCATGTGCCATCCTGGAATTACAAGCCTGTTAGACCTTTATAGCTTTCACATTTACAGTTTTTACTGTTCCTAAAGCCAGGCTCACAGTGTGGAACGTCTGTTTTATTAAACATCAAACCTCAGTTATTCACGCTAATACTTTGTGTGTGTGTGTGTGTGTGTGTGTGTGTGTGTGTGTGTGTGTGTGTGTGTGTGTGTGTGTGTGTGTGTGTGTGTGTGTGTGTGTGTGTGTGTGTGTGTGGCACTCATGTTGTAGGGACATAACTCTGTTTATTCGCTCACATTGTGGCGACTTTCCTCCCTTTGGATTAGAAAGGGCATCAGCAAAATGTGCTCAAAGGCCAGACTTTTTCTGAGCAGACGGTGTGGGGGCCAGTCTGTGATTAGCCGTGGTAACTATGGCCAGTCTGTTTTATTTATCTCACTTGCTGCTGGCAGTTGCGCTGCTCTTTTATTTTTCCAAAGTGTTAAACAACTTTTCTTCTTTTTTTTAATTTAAAAAGTTTTAGTTGTGGCTTTGCCTTGGAATCATTGTATGTAACTGAAGCTGACCTCCATCTTGGAAAACCACTTCCACCCACTGTATTCCACTGTCGAGGCCATGGACAGCTCCTTTAGTGGTAGACTGAGATGCAAAGCTGATTGCTACCGTGGGTCATTCATTCCCACTGCAGTAAGGCCGTTTTCACACTGGAAGCATCAGCGGCACAGAACAGTTTACTAGCAAACTTTAAAGTGGTCCTTTTCACACCGGGAGAGTCTTGGCAACGTCACAGCTTCCTCGCTGTGCTCTTCACTGGACTCACGAGATTACAAGATCCCTCGAAACTTCAGGTCATGGTTTGTTTATGCAATCTGCCATCAAACCAAAATGAAGAAACCACATTTTATATCACTGTTTGATGTCATAGAGGATGTTGTTCCTCTCCTCCGCCAAGATGAAAGCCATGAAAAAAACACAGCTGCACTTCTGGAACGATGCTGTGAGTAAATAAACCGTTGAGTTTCTTGTAAGCTTCATATATATAAAATTGCATCGCTGCAGTACTTTTAATTTGAAATTTACCAGTGATTTTACACTGAAACCGTGTGTGATTTCCTGTCTAGCCCTACGTTAACTGCAGAAATTGACGCATCCCAGAAGCGGCACGTGGCAAAAATAGAACCTGAACCTATCTTGCGAGGCGCTTCTGGGACGCACCTGGAAATTGCCACATCTCTGCTGGTTTGAAACGATCCATAGACTGTAATATATATGCACTATAATGGATTGAAGCAGTGACGTTCCACTGATGCTTTTAGTGTGAAGTTGGGGTTAGAGTGTATAACTCTTGCTGTCATTATCCTGTTACACAATTACATCAGAGCTATGGACCCATTGAAAGTTATTGTTTTCATCCGGTATGGCTGGGCGATACGGCCTAAAATCAGTATCACGGTATATTGAGGGTTTCACCTCGATAACGATAAATGGACGATAACCACAAGTCTGCGCAGAAGTAAAAGTTGTCCACTAGATGGGGCTGTCACATGTATCACATTGAGTCTCATTTTTATGTGATGCAAGGTGGTACAGCTTCTTAAAGAGACATGAATGTTGCCAACCGTCACACATCTTTTCATTGTTTTTATTATAAAATGTATTGACATGGGAACATTTATCTCGATAATAGTCTGAAATTTCGATAGAGATAAATTTTCGTTTAATTGCCCAGCCCTAACTTCCAGGAAGCTGCACATCCACACTAGCTGGAGGGCTAGAACCTCGTCCTCAGCCACTATCCAGAGCTTTAACTCTGTGATTTAAGCTAACAAAATAAAACCTGGGGATCTAGATATTACCACTTTAGATCATCTAACACATCTTCGTGCAGATGAATAAAAAAAGGACAATCTCAAAGTTAACAGTGTTTAGTATAAAGCTTCCAGGTAGGGATGCACCGATATTGCGTTACACTATCAATACACGTATCGGTGAACTTTTACCGATACCAGGAACCGATACCAATACAGTTGTCTAAAAGTGGCTTCACTGTAACTTCATTTCTGTTCATTTTGTGATCATTTGTATTAACTAATTTGCTGCCAGCCGTTTCCTGATCGGTAAAGCCCTTCGCTGCCAGCGTTTCTCACCATTTTTACTGTTTTTTTAAGAGTCACCGAATGTTGCACGCTAGAATTATGTCGATGCCAAAACAACCAAAACAAAGCGGAGACTCACCTCTTACATCAGGAAGAATCTGTGTGTTTCAAGAGTTATCCGTTCTTTTATAATCCGTTGTTGAATTTTGATCGGCAGAAGCTTTTCCGGTTTGCGCCTCACTTTTTTTTACAGCAGCGGTCCTAAACAATCTCCTAACACATGGATGTTCTGCTTCCTGATCACGTGATGTGTGACGTATGCGGATGAAGATCGGCTTTAGAGCTGAGATGTTTGTTCTCACGGTGCGGGGGCTTGTTCCCACGCCCACACAGTAAAAACATGCAGTGAATGAGTTAGTTATCATAACAAGACCGTTACCACAGGTCACACACAGAACTACACACCACACCAGTGCTGTCATTTTCATAAACATTTGTTTATTTCTCAGGACCAATCAACCTACAGCTCCTCTCCAGTGCTGGGTCTTCTCGGTCGACCAGTGTTCCCCATCTCCTCGTCCCCGCAGTCCTGCATACTTATATAATAAAAGCAAATAAGTCATTAGATGTCTATAACTTGTTAGTTTGTGGACATGCTGTGCAGCTATTTTACTTTTTTATTCCGTCGGAAGGCTTATCTGGGTGATTTATTCACTAGAACGTCAACCATTGCCTTTGGTGTATTTCATCAGCTGGAAACCTGTAAAATGTAACTTTCCTGTCCTTCTTTTGTCTACTTGTCAATGTCAGTGTCAACTTTGTCTACTTGTGTAGCCTACAGCTCCACTAATGTTAACCATAATGGATTGGTGCTGCATCGACAGTGATGCGGGCATTGTACCGCTCTGTCGTGGTGAAAAGAGAGCTGAGCCAGAAGGTGAAGCTCTCGATTTACTGGTCGATCTACGTTCCTTTACATCAATATATTATACATTTATACATTATAAATCATTAGAGAGCTAGGATTCTTGTGATTCCAATGATGTCCCATGTACCAGTCAAGGACACAACCATACCTGTAGACACAGTGGTTACAAACTCTGCTGAGGCAAACACTTTTACCAAAGGCTGATAGGTCAGATGTACGGCCTGCTATTCTCACATGTAGCTCAAACCAATTACAGCATAGTATATTGTAGATCGATGCATCAAATATCCAATGAAATTAGAAAAACAACAATCTCCCACACGAGCACCCCTCCTGGCCTGCTTCTACAAACTGAGTAAGAATGATTGAGATTGGTGGAGCACTCCCTGCAGTGCATGTCAGGCTCAAAAAACATTTAAATGTCACCTGTACAAATAAAATGCCCATCATCAGTTTTTAGACAGAAAAATATAGTTTGGAAAAATGCTATATATCGCCTAACCTTAGACTCAATCCAGTCTAAGACGGTAACAACAGCTAATCAATCTTAGCCAAGCAAAAGATGGCTATGAGTCATTTACCTTTTACAAACACTGAGCCATACTCTGAGCCCCAACTGATCACATGACATCCCACAAGACTTTGTGCATAACGTCCTTTTTGTGATTTCACTAAAACAATTATAACTTCATTATTTCTTCATGTAAGTTGATCTTCGTTTAAAACTCTTGGATGAAAGCTAGCTGGCAGTGTGCATTTCCTCAAGAAAAGCCAAACTTTTAATGCACCAATTTGGGATTCCAGCTCCTCCTTAACGAGACCTAGGAAGTTGGAACGCCGTTGCTTGAAACACTCTGGTACCGACGTCATCTCTGAACTGGGCTAAACCTGACTGAGATTAGATTGTGCATAATGCCTCTTGAGGGGGGCAGGGACTTTTCTGGTTGCAGTCTCCCGCGGGTCCCTGCGCTCTGGGGCAGCTCCTGGATCTCTGAGACTTGGAGCTCCTTCCGTCTCCTGCACATCTTTAGGGGGCAGATCTGTGGTCCCTCACACTCTCTATTGGACGCTCCAATAGAGAAACCTTACATGTACAAGTGCGAGTATGCACACAGGTGCTCACATGGTGCTCTCATAAGTATGGACTTGGGCACGTTCAGCACAGGTATTAAGGCTGTGGTTGGCACTAAATGCACTATGATTTATTACAGTGTGATTGTTCAGTTAAACAATGCTGATTTTATATTTCCTCATCAGGTTGACACGTGATTGTTGGCTCCTGTTGTATTGTTGTGTGTTACTTTTTTTTTTTCTCCTGCAGGTGTAGAAGCAGACTCTTGTTCATCATTGATTGTTTATTTTTGTGGACAACCCCCCCTCCCCCCCTTCCTTGTCTCTTCCTTACTCTTTCGCCTCTGACTCTGTGTCTGGTCGGAATTACAAAGCATTCAAAAACAATAACAATAAAGTTTTAAGTATCAGGCGTGACATTAAAAGCAGACGCTTTGATGCTCCACCTGAGAGTAAATCTGTAAGGCTTGTTACCAGCATTCAGACATCAATTCTGTTTGCTTCACAGCCAGACAGGACATGGTTAAAAAAAAACAGAAAACATAAAAAGATTGTGCATAATTTTCTTTGTGAGGTGAGTGCAGTCATTCCTCAGGCATGGTCTGGCCTGAGAAGGGAGGTTATTGTGGTGCTTCTGGGATAGGATTCTGAATAAGAAATTAGTTAATAAAGCAACGCTATGATAAATAAGAGTAAATTTGTTGCCTGTAAAGTAGCAGAAACCACACTTTATGTTACACTGATGATCGACCTACTCTTAATGTGCACATTTATACCCGTAAAACACATAGATTGCTAAAACTTGTGACTACTGTCAACCAAAGGGACCAAAGTACTCACCTAACCACAAATGAATCATCTGCTGAGAATGACTCTAACAAAAGTTTACTTTCTGATGCATTCAAATAGAAAGTTGTATTACTCTTAGAATAGCTGGATCCTTTTTTACTCGCATATTAAATCTTAGCAAAGAAAATCATCAATAACTGTTGTGTTTGAAGACTGAAGTGTCTTGAGTCATTCTCTCTATGAATTTGTGTGGACCAGCGTATTAGACCCATCTTAGAATGCAGGCAGAAATAGAGATACAGCATTAGGAAGCGTCCAATTTCAAAATCTGTTTCTGGATCAAATCTGCTGCGTAATGTGTCATTTCCGATTCAAACAGTGCTGCCGTGAGCCTTTGATGTACATGTGTGCCTGGTTTGCCTGTGCGTGCGTTGGTGTTTGTGTATGTTGGCAGCTCACACCGACAGCCTGGGAGTTAAGTACTTGGCTGTCCTGGTATTCATAATGAGCCCCAAAGCGATGTCCAGTTTTACTGTGCCTATCTGGTTTTAAGTGTGTGTGTGCACGCGCATGTGCTGGTGCGGTTGTCCAGCATGGTGCAAACCTAGATCCAATGCCAAACCTCCCATTAGTGGAGCACTGTGCATTAAAACCCCATTAACAATCCCTTTCTGGAAGAATTACACAAACACTGTCAAAACCTTCTCATACTCAGCAAGCTCCTGCACACACACACACACACACACACACGTGCACGTGCACGCACACTAACACACACACACAACCAAAACGTATGCATTCATCACTTGTCATTCCCTTCTGCTTTGGGTTACCTCTCGCATCCACATAAACGATCCGATTTCACAGATCAAGGTCATGAATGCACATGGGCAAACAGACCTCCACCTTCTTTGCCTTCTGTCTGATGGGTCTCCAGGAATCACTTGCAGTAGCTAATGCCCTCCTTCATGTTTAGTTATTAGTACTGTGCAATGAGGATGAATACGCTCTCACTGCTGCCCTCTCCATGTCCGTCTTCAGGTTGTCCATACCCTCTCTGAAAAGAACTGATGCTGGACTGTATCAGTGTATAGTGAGGAACAGGATGGGAGCTGTAATGCACAGGAGAACAGACGTTCATGTGGCATGTAAGTACAAAGGCCTTGTCACTACAAACACTTGCTTTGTTCTGAAATTTTAAAAAACTGTTTAAAAACTGTTTTTATCCTTGTCTTGACACATTCAGTGCATTGCCAGGTTAAATTCACAAACCTGTTTGCAAAGAGCAAACAAAATGTAAATATGAACAGAACATGATTTTCTGCAAACCCCCTAATTTAGATTTTGATTCCTTCAGCAAACATGAAAGATGGTTGGGCAGGATGGAAATACAGCAACTTGTAATCATTTACACATTTTTTAATATGTTTTTTTTCTTTATTTTTCAAATGCACACCTACTTTTCTCTGGCATGTACATGTGTAATTGCTTTATAAGCAGATTGTGGATTGAACCTTTTATATTTTGTGCATTTTTCTGCAGAAGAACAATGTATACTGCATGGTGAATCTAATAACCATTTCACATATTTTTTTCTTAATGTATACAAGTAATTTTTAGTAATAATTCTACCCAGATTTTGTAAGCAGTCACATTTTGTAGAATCTTGGTTGGTGAGGAGCTGGGTACATGAGTTCTTATCTGGTAGTAAGTAATCTGTTACTACTGGATTCTGGTAACAAAGGCTAAAATATTTTAATGTTAAACAATATTGCAATAAATTTGATGTTATGGATATAAATACAGCACATTAAATACGAAATGTAGCGTTGCTTCACAACCTAATTGAACTTTTGGGGCAAATGGTGTATGATGTCAGGCGGTAGACCCCACCCACACTAAAATACACCTGGTATCACAGTCACCCCTCAGTTTTATGGCCGCTCTTCAGCGAGCCCAGCTGTGAACGGAACAGCCAAGTGTTGTACCTTTTTTCTTTCCTTCAGGGAACAGTAGTTATATGCATAACATCTTGTTCCATTTCAGTCAGTCTACTCAGTACAACACAAGAAGTATGAGAGACATGTTTACACACCCTTGGAGCAGCCATCAAAGCTATGTTCAAGTGCAGCACATTACTGTGACTTCTAAGCCCCGGCTGAAAAAACAGAGTGAGCCACCAACAGAGCAATCGCATCTAAACCAGAAAACCAAAGGTGTGAGGGAAGACCAGCTTTCTGAAGAGCAGAGGACTTCGCTTGTTGGCTCCAGTGGCAAACACATCCTCTAAGGCAGGGGTGTCTAACTCAAATTCACACTGGGCCAAAATGAAAAGCTGGGATGAAGTCGCGGGCCAAACTCAATATTTTTTTTCAAAGTGACGGTAAATGTGCACATTTTCCTTTATCTACAGATATGAACGGCTGAACCTTTTCATTTGGAAGCAAACTTATTTTTGCAGTAACACTGAATGTGGAATAACCAAATTACACACAAGCTAGTCGATTTTAAATAAAGCACTCATCAGTGGTATTCGTTACTTATGTCTCAATAATTTTTTTATATTTTATTCCTTTTATTTTGTTATTTTAATTCCTTATGGAATTTTGACAGCCAAAACATGTATAGAAATAATAAATTTCTTCTTCATACATTCTCCTGCAATGCCCTGGTCCTGGAGAATGAGCCCTGGCATTTTTACTGTGATTGCCTGTTTTTCTGTAAAATCACAGAAAAAGAGAGATGCTCGGGTCGAGCAGGCTGCTTCATGCACGTTCACGCTCAGGCATAGCCCTCCGAACCGTTATTTGAACGTTGTTTCAGCTGTCATCAACGATATAAATGTTACAGATACAGTAAACGTAACTGGTGGTTTAGCTTGTCTAGTAAGACTTCGGGCTTTCGTACTGAATACCCGGGTTCGATTCTGGGTGTGAACATAGTTGTTTTAGAGTTTCTTTTTTACATCAATGGTATATTTTTTTACAGTAAGATGCCCAAATTTTTCTTTGAGACTCGCTGAACGGCATTGAATTCACAGATAAAAAAAGATGTGGGTTCAACTTTCATTTTGGAACAATTTTTCAAGCAAGGGAAGGGAATGATCTGAGCATGCAGGAGGACTGACCATCATAAACCTTTGTCGGTTGTGCTGAAGAGAAAGGTACAGAACCAAATGATTTAATTAATTAGCTATGCGTTCTCCTGTCCTCTGTCCTCCAGGCCACACACACACACACACACACACACACACACACACACACACACACACACACACACACACACACACACATACACACACACACAAGGGACTGTCTCAGCTGTCATTTTCATTAAGGAGTGTGCACGTACAGCATGCGCGCCTCGTACACGAGCCTCCTATTGAAGCTGCCGTTATGCTTTTGGCCTGATGGGGCAATCGCTAGCATAAAAATTCAAAACTCTGTAAAGTCCCTTTAAAATCTGCATATATTCAGCATTTCTTCTTATTTTTTATCCTTTGAATCTTTTAAGTGTTTCTATTTTATGTTTTCATGTTTATTCTTGATTTTACTCTCCTTTGTTGCTCCTGTAATGAATGTTATTGCTGCTGTGACACCAAGCTTTCCCCACTGACGGACAAAAAAGGGATTTTCTATTTTATTTCTATTCTTCTATCTGTAATCTTTCCTGTTTTATATTAGGTGAAATCTTTTTTCACAGGCCAACAACATAAATAAATAACAGTAATTCTCTTAAATAAAAATGCAATATCTTACCTAATAACTCATGCTTTGGAGCAGAAAAGGTTGATAAAACCAACATAATTCAATCCCAGTTTTTTCCACTCTGATTTCCTGTGATGCTCACCTGTTCCAGCCAGACCTGCATCTGTGGGGTTGGGCTCTGAGCTGAGGAAGGAGTTCATCAGTGAGAAACAGTTGCTCACACAGGTTTGTGCTGCTGGACATGGAGAGCATCTGGACCACACAGCTGTGTCGGGGAGGGGGATGAAAGCCGCAGCAGCAACAGAGTCATAGTGACTTGAGCGTGTCGTTAAACTGGAGTTAAATCATCTCGGTCTGGAAGTTGGTCGGTGCGCTTTCTATGTCAGCAGCAAACAGATTACTGAGCTGTTAATATCCATTTCTGGGCTTCAGAGTCGGCTAATTGCTGATTAAACGTGGCGCTGAATATGAGGAGTGTTTCAGTTTGTCCGAGGCAGAGGAGGTAACGCTGCAGATGCTGATGCTAGTAGCATGGACGCTAATGACTGTAAAGACATACCGGTTTTTCTCCTTGAAGCATCAACATGTTCCATCTTTGTTGAAACACCTTCCTTCTGCATCAATCTTTCTCTTCCTGGACATTTTGGGATGATGTGTAGACAGTTATTTTCACTTGTTGCAGTAATTAAACATGCAACACCTAGTGGCGAGTCACTGCACTGGGAACACAATTGCTATACATTATGGGAGATGTAGTTAATAGCCAATGTGCGCTTTGAAGCAGCATAGACTTATTTTAAGGTACTTGAATCTTTCACGAGCCACATAAAATGATGTGGCCCCACGGGCCTTGTGTCTGACATGTGCCCTAAGGCCTTGCTGAACAGCTGACACTCTTGAGGCTCCACTGATGGGTGCAGCTTCCACTTCCACACTGAACTGCAAGTCTCCAAGTTCAGACAGCCTAAAGCATGAGTGGCACTGCAAGACAGAAAACACATGTTGCACAACTGTGAGGGAGACCACTGTAACAGGGAAGGAGAACAAACTCCTTTCATTTTAGTCAGAGGCAACTTAGCTCTGGTCAGAACACAATGGCCCATCAGAACTTGACAAAGATGATAGCATCTGTATATAGTTGATGTGGAATTTGGACTGGCCTGAAGACCAGACACTGCTTGTCGCCACGCTGTCACACAGAGTCCCACGTTCCATCAAGGAGATATACATGGAAACCACTTTGCAAAATGCTCTCCACCCCCATGTTTGTGAGCTAGCCAGATTCCCTCAAAGAACAGAAAGCTGGCGTCCAACAGACGGTTATCGTTAGAATCGTGTAGTGGTGACATGCCACTCATAGTGTGTGAGAGCGAGCCCAGATCTGAGAGTGCATTTTTAGTAAGCCAAGTGGCATCTCTGCAATAATGGAGACTGTCATGCTTGTCAGTTGTAAAACCATTTGGAAAGTGCAGCTTGCCTTTCAACTGAAACTGGGTGAGGTAGTAATGCTACGCAGTCACTTATTGATCTGAAGGATGTCCCTGATGGAACAAAGTACAGGAATAAAACTGGAATATTAAAGCCGTTATAGTGAATCCAAAAACGAGCTAGGTTTTGAACGCAAACATGGTCATGGAACATTCACCCCTTCCTGGTTCCCAGCCGGAACCAGAAACCCGCGATACTAGACAAAACGAGATAGCGCTAAACACCAGTCGGCGTTATCTAGGTCCAAACGTCTGTTGTTGTCCGTGACTTCAAATAGTGTTTTTCTTTTAGGGACTCTGGTAGTTTGTCCTAAAGTTGAAGTGGTAGCAGCCGGCTGTTTCTCCTTCTCTGATATTAGTGAGCGGAGACCCGCTCACACCAGTGCTATTCTGTTAAATACACGAGTGGGTAATGAGTGGAGGGCCCAGGGAAGGGCTGAAGTGCTGCGCTTCGGGAATACCGACAACCAGATGGTCCGATGACTGCTTTGGTCCAAACCATAATATTGAAGACAGTTTTCAGACAAATGCAAGAGAACCACTTCGATCATTTTTTTGCTTTTTTTTGTCTTCAAAATATATTTATCTCTATATTATGTTAGAAAGCTGTCACGAGGCATAAAACATGTGTTAAGCTCATTTATTTTCCTAATTTGCTTTTGCAGCTTTAATGAACACACCTGTGTTAAGTCTTTTATCTGTGTCATGAATGTTTGTCTCCTTCTCTTTCCTCTCTGCAGTCATGGGAAGTTTCTCTGCTGAGGAGCAAAGAAAGACGGCAACACAAGGCAAAGCAGCCATCATCAGCCTGCCTCCTCTCCCATCTTTTCCCCAGCCCCTGGTCACATGGTACAAAGATGGCCATAAAATCATCCCCAACAACCGAATGTACGTGCATTTTCATACACCTTTCTCTTAGCTTTTGTCTCCACCGTTTACTCATATTTATACTGGAGCATGTAAACTTAGACGTACAATTTGGGTCTGACAAAACACAGCTTAAGATAATATTTAAATGTCGCTATTAACTTCTCACAATGGTATATTAACTAGTGTGCTCTAAAGGCATAAAAGTTCTTTTAAAGCACTGGACGGCAGTTGTCATGAATAATAAGCTGTTTAGATAACTGACCCCTTTTATTATAAATGACTAAGAACATTATCAGGAAAAGATAAAAGAGAATTTTCAATGAATCAAATCTACAAGGTTATTAAGTAATTTTAGGTGCAGGGAAGATGTTCTTTTGTGTCTGTTGAGCAGCGGAGATGTGGGGGTCCTTAGATGTTTTGTGTTGCTGTATTTTGCTGCGTTTTTGTTTGATGCTATTGTCTGGCTCTCTTTGAAATGTCTCCAATTTGCATATTATTTCTTAGTGGCTACAGATATCTTGTCAGTGTCATTATTCTGAATAATAATCACAGTGTTTTAATAATTTGGGCATTCATAACAGAAACAATTGCCTGCTGCGAGAGGCTTTCTGAACAGGTTGCTGTGGTTTCAGGCAGGTTATTTTAGAATCTATGTTTTTGATACCACTCATCTGTGAATGTGGGTGTTGAGATGGAGACCTGCGTTGGTTTTATTAGCTCTTGCTCATGATCTTAGATAACTAACTCCCCATTGAGAGCATTAACCGCTCCTCTGTGTGTTTAACGAGAGGGGTGGTCTCTGGCCTCTGCATATAAAAGGCAGAGAGCGACTTCTCACCTTTAATGACAAACCACCTCCTCAAAGGCTCTCTTGAAAAAGCATTGAAGAGACTCGTTTCTAATGGTCTTCTTTGTGTTTGGCTGACACCAAGTTTGACTTTACTTTTCAAAAACAGATGAACATGGATAATTTCCTCCTGTTAACCTGTGGTCGGATGGATGATGGCGGACCTCGGTTATTGCTGCTGTCTGTATTGAAAAAGTGTTAACTGACAGAACATAAATACTACAAAGCTTTATGCCTGCTTTAGGTGTGCTCACTGCTGCTATCCATGTGAAATAACAGGAGATAGTTTCTTGTTATTGGTAAGATTTTGATAATTAATCTGAATAAAAATAAATTGTTATTACACTTCAAATCCTCACCAAAATATTGTGTTGATTTTTGAAATACTTTACAAAAAATGAGGGATGATCTGATCACGTGATTGGAAATCAGACCTGATCATGTGGTTTTCAAACAACCGGAAATAACGATATAAAACAACAAGCTTGACCTTTTATATTCATCCCAAGATAGAGGTTTTCAAACTCAAAAACAACGGCTTAGTTTTCATTTTAACAAGTACCAGTACATCAATATTTATCGTTTAATGGATGACAACAACACCGTAACATCACACAGTTTATGGCAGCTGGGGAATTCAGAACACTAGCTCTTAGCTAGCTTGCTAATGTAGAGCTAACATGTTGCCTCAGGGGAGCAAAAATTCTGTACTTTGGATATATCTTTTATCGGACAGTGAAGGCACCGAACAGCCACTTGGAACGCGTGCATATTGGGGAATTTTAGTGGTAGAAAAGGTAGAGCTGCGTTCAACACTGTGAATCTGACACACCTTTGTCTTTCAGCTTTTCTCTTCAGGGGTCGCCGCAGCAAATCACCTGTCAGAATTTCATTCTTGTTGACCAACTTAAAAACAAACACCCCGCTCAATATTCAAGGGTTCACTGCGGCAACTCAGACAAAAACACGGAGCCTACCGACCCAAAAGATACTTTAAAAACAAATAGAAACATGGAACAAAAAACAAATAAAAAGGTCACTGCCAAGATAGCAGCAGTATATTTATGACACTAGATGACGGTCTGAGGTTACAAACGTCATGTTTTGCGTGAGCCTTCTGGCTGCATGCACTGTCTCAGGAACATGCATCTCTCAGTAAATCCATGGTATTAAAGATCAAGTTGACTCATACTTTTAGTACATTTGCAGTGGTTTCTAGTAGGAATGAATGCCTTGTATGTCATTCTCTGGGGGGAAATAAAGCTCAGATGCACCTGTTTGAGAACTTAAAAGTCAGACAAAGGAAAAAGTTGCAGCAGACAGCAGGATTTGAAGTATTACTCCAGAATATTTCCTGAAATTTGGACCTGTGGCCTCTGATTGGCTCACAGCAATGCGACTCTACCAATGACTGTTTGCTTTGCAGCATAGATGTTTTATCTCCACAAATAACTAGCCTGAAGGAGTTCTAACTTGCAACAGGGAAAGCTGTTGCTGTTTTAAGCGTCCTGGAAACAACAATGAACGTCTTGGCTAGCAGAAGATAACTGTTAGCATTAGCAACTCAACGACAAGGCACAAGTTCCTCCAGTCTTATGTTGTTTGCAGAGACTTGATTTGCGGTGATTTTTCAGCAGAGGAAATATCTTGTATTAGACCTTTTCTGTTCTAGACTGCACATGCTGCCCATCATCACTAAAACCATACCATCGAGACGCAAGACCCACCTTTCACCTTTTTATGCATCAACCATTTCTACTCTGTCACTACTTTGCTTCGATGCTCTGAGAGGTGATCGAGATGGGTTGCCTTCATTCTTTCAGAAAACACAGAAATGGGACAAAGACATCTCGGGTCTGGCTGAAGGGCTTTGGGGCCCATGTCAAGGGAAAGAAAGGCATCACCAATGATTTTTGAGAAGTGATTGTTGCTGCCATCAATCTAGGAAGAGTTATAAGGTCATTTCAAAACAATCTGGAGCCCATCATTCTACAGTGACAAAAAAATTTTCCCAAGTGGAAAACACTCAAGGCAGCTGTCAGTCGTTCCTAGAGTTGACGTCCCTTTAAGTTCATCCAGAGATCAGATTGCTCAGAAAAAACTCAGAAAACTCACAAAAGTTACATCTCAGACTGAAGTGCTCTTAGTTTGTTAAACTTCCTGAAAATAACTAAACAAGTTACAAATACCTGATTTTTTTTAAAAACAACTCATAATTCAACAAATATAATCCAGCTTAGAGCCCTGCACTGAAGCCCTAGGCCCTCGGGTCGGCCCGGCCCGACAGCCCTCGGGCCGGGCTTCGGGCCAATGACTGTGTAATAACCTCGGACACGGGCCGGGCGCCTTTATTTTTAATCTTAATTCATAAAAATTTGAAACACTTTGTTTTCATTTAGTTGGTTAAAAAAAGTCAGGCTCGGGTCGGGCCAGAGAATCCTGAAAACCTTTTCCGGCCGGGTCGGGCTGGGGCTCCACCCCCTCAGGCCGGGCCGGACACAGGCTCAGATTTTAGGCTCGTGCAGGGCTCTAATCCAGCTTCATCTTCCTCTACATAAAGGCTTGTTCTCTACATTACATTACACTGACAGCAGGCTGAGAAAAGCTGTCCAAGCCTCTCCTTTTCCAGTGCTATGCTATCTTAAGTCTCTTTATTACATTTAAGGAGTTCTACTTTAGTTATTTAGTATTAAGGACACTAATGAGTCAGAGTCCAGACTCTCAGAGTGGCTGTCTATGAAGGCCATTTGTAATGTCTTGTGTGACTCTAGGCCAAGGAAAAAGCCAGAGAGTAATCATTTGGATGTGTAGTATATATTTAAGAGGAGGGGTGTGCTATACCTCTGAGAATTAACCTCGATACGACTGGGAAGTTTTATCAGTACGTGTTCAGTTGAGCAAATGTCACTTTTTACTCTATTTTCTTGTTATAGTTATCTTACACTGACACAGTGAAAGAAGACTTCATCTATTTATTCTAATGTATTATAAAGTAAATGTTATTTTGTTTCACTGTGTGACCCAGAACTATTTTACTCTGATTATTATGTACCCTGAACCACCATCGGGTTTCTTTTGGCCCTGGTTGGTTGCACTTGAAGCCAATTTTCCTCATCAGAATTTCTGAGTAACTTCACTGGACCTTTGTAGCAAACCCATGTCTCCATTTTACCAATTCACGAACCAACCGAGTACCTGAACTGGGGTATGTACTAGGAACTGGTAGTTAACTCATGCTTGGTTGGGTTAGGGTCGGCCGACTTCGCCAAACAACTGGCATTTTTAAAATTGGAAGATTTGTTGGTGAAGTTGAATGGTAGAAAAGGGAAATACTGCTTTAAAAGGATTCTATTTTACTTTTCCATATTTTTCAATCATTTTCTTGAGCCATTATGTGCTAAAATTACCCTTTACTGGGTTAATGAAATGTATTCAGACCCCCATCGCCCTCTGAGGCCAGAATACTCCAACTTTTGTAATTTTAGAGTGCCGAGCCGGCACCTGCTGCACTTAGAAAAAATTAAGCTGACATACCTGGTGCTGCAGTCTTTTTCCAATACGTTTCCTGCATGTTTTAGATCATAAACACAGCTGATTTGTTTATTTAGTGATGAATCACTGCTGTAGACACTAATGAACGCTGGGGAGACATCTCAGCTTTTAGATTAAGGTGTTAAAAAGAGAAAAGCACAGTGAGGATAAAGGTTTCCCTTTCGCTTTGACCACAGATAATTAATAACTGACACTGGGGGTGCTAAAAACAAGCTTAACTGCCACGTGTGCCTTAAAAATCATGATTTCTAAACTCCGAATGTCAGAAAATGTAGCAGAAATCGCCCATAATGCAGTATTTTATGCTGCTTTGTGATCTTCTACAGAGTGCTATAAAAAACATTTTAACGTTACACAGCCTCTCTGTCTCCTGAATGTGTTTCATGACAGCGTACTTTGGCAGAATAAAACTTTTAGAGTGATTAGGGTGTGTATGGGGAGCATGAGTGGGTGTCCGGCATGCATTTTTCTAAGTCTTAGGTTGTATGTGCATGTGTGAGCATGAGGGAGAGAGTGTGTGACTGTGTTTGTGTATGACTGTATATGTCAGGTGGGGCCTTTGACTCCTCCCCTCTCCTGGGACTTTTTTGCTGCTATACATCTTCGTCTCCCCTCCTCC